CCTAGTAAAGACTATTTCCTCGAACATCAATTTTGTGCTCAAACATCACATTTTATTGATTCATACGCTAATTGTTCATTTCCTTTATCAGCTAAAACTTTTAAAAATTTTTATCAATTTTTATATGATCGTCGTTTATCATTAAAAAATCGTTATACAATCGGTTTTATTATTGGTACATTTATACCATCATCAATATGTATAATATCATCATTTATGTGTCTTTATTATATATCAAATCAACCATTAATACGTAAACATAGTCATTCACGTGCTGAACTTCGTTCATTATCACTTATTTTTGTTGAAATTTTATTAAGTTTAATGAGTGCATTACAATCTTATATAATTAATTTTTTTACATGTCATCGTTTACTCTTTCGTATGAAATCAGATAATTGTTATGGAGAATCAAGTACAAATATTTTACCAATATTTCTTGGTAGTATACTTGAATTATTTACATCAACATCAAATATTCTTATACTTATGATTTGTGGAGCACAATTTCGTAATGAACTTATTGAAATTCTTCATATTAAAAGATTATTTCCAAAAAGAAAACAACAACAATTTAATGATGAACAAAATAATAATCGTAAAAAATCTAGTATAGCAGTACCACTTCGTATTATATTAACATCAACACCATCAACTAATGAAATAAATAAAAGACCTAAAATTAATCATGATCCATCGATAGATTCATTAATAATACCAGGTCAAAATAAAGATGATATTAGTATGATAGATAATGAACACCAATCAGATGAAACAACTCAATATCTAATTAAATTGACTACTGTTTAAATATATATTTGAAATCTTTTTCTTTCTCTCTTTTCATATTGTTCCCTTTTATTAAATAAAAGGTCTTGCATGTTGATATGCAGGAAAACGAAATTAAATATAAAAAAGTACAGAATATTAGAGAATAATAATAATAAGTTTAGCAAGTATTTATCTTAATGTGTAGTTATATGTATGAATAGTTTCGGATAAGATTTTCGTTTTATCTTTTTCAAATAATTATGGGCTTATAAGAATAAGATTAGAAGAAAAATAAAAATATCCGTCATCGAATTATCGTTATCGTCGTTTTGTTAGAGATACGATCCATCTTTGCCCAGATAGAATTGAAACGGTTAAAATAGCATTTATACGGTCATAAACATCAGTTCTACTCGAAAAAGAAAACACTAATAAACGAGAGAAAAAAAAGATAATCATCAATTTTCTTGCCGTTTCAACACTAAATTCAGCGTTTCAAAATATAAATTATATTAAATAATCATTAGGATATTTATCTAAGTCAATATCTTCTAGATAAGATGTAGTGATGAAGTTTTATAATTAAGTTTAGTTTTTCACTAACAACTATTAAAAATTCTTTTTTAGAACTGTCATTCTCTCAATTATTCATATTTCCATAAATTCTCTAGTTTTTACCATTTAAGAATATGCGCGAAAGAAAATTTAAATCATTTGAAACTTCCATTTATCTTTATTATTTTATAAATTATGTAAAACCTGATAACACTACACTCTAGATTTATTAACATAACAAAACACAATGCTTGTTTCATCTAAGTACAAATCCACAGATTATTTACATGATATTTATTAAGATTATGTGCTAATGTGTGAAAATTACGCTATTGAAATATATATAAGATGGTTCTGTTGATTTCGGTTGTAAATTTTCACATTAATATCCTCATTTTTTCCTAATCTTCGAAGTTCGAATTACATGATAAACTATAAGTTTTGTAACCTTTTTAAACATGACATTGCTGCACTTTACACGGTTCAATATCCGTTGATTATTTTTTTTAATTTCAATGACCTTTTTTCATGGAAATCATTGGTTTTCCAAAGTTTATCACCAGCTGAATGTAAGTGTAAGTGTTGCTATGGATAAAATGAAGAAATGATATTCAATACTGAGTTCTAGCATAGAAAAGCAATTTTCAAAAGACTTTTAGTTGGACCAATTCAGCACACGAATAAATTCATGAGAAGATAGCCATACCAGATGATGAGTCGAAGAGTGATTTGAGCCCATTGTGAATTAGGTTTCTTTCATGTACTATGTTTTTGCTCATAAATATCTAAGATAATGGTGATCATATAACTTATGACTACAAATAAGACATTGATTGATTTTACTTAATAAACCAACATGAAGAAATAGAATAAAGAATGTGCGTTATCTTTATTTCATCATAAAATAAGGTATGTATTAGAAGAACGACGCAATTCAAGATTAGCTACCATAGAAGATTGGATTAAACTTATTTGAAGAGAATCAGAATAACAAATTCCTTCTTCGGTTTTTGTTGACTGCGAAAGTGTTTTGTTCCGAAACTAGTTCTTAGAAGTTCTTAGATTTCTCATTTAATAGCTATTGATCATGAAAAAACTTAGAGTATCGGTACTCAACTGTAATTCAACGCCGTGTCTGTACTCGAGTTGGAATCAAATGATTTATCATCACACAAGGAAATGAAAAGAAACAGAGAGACTCTCTTCTCCATCAACTTCCTTGTAATACAAAAATGACCTATTTAGCATTTTAAAGCTCTTCATCATTTCTATCTCGTTTTTTTTCGTGACGATTTCCATAAATTGAAATATACCACTTAACTCGAAAGCAAGCATTTAGACACGCTACTGAGAATAAGAATGGCAATACAATGACTACAGTCGTAGATGATGACCTAGTGTAAGCGAGACGATTAAAATATAATTCTAATCATCAAAACAAAATACAAAACATGTCTCCGAGATTTGATATTCAGTATTTGCTAAGATGATTCTTCAGCCGTCATGAAAAGCTTTATTGACCAATAAATCTAGTCTAATACGTTGAAAATTTGTCGAAAATATTTGTTTTACTCTTGCTTGCATTAGAATGAAAATCTTTCTAGGCTTTAACATTAGATAGTTTCTCTTGTTCGTTTAGCAGCGTATCAAGCATTAATGGATAATGATCTGGCATTTTGCTTGCAAACTTTTGCCGACGAACAAAAGATAGAACTTGAATTAACAAGAATTGAACAGGACAATGTCTATAATGTAGCTGTGCGTGAACACTAAATCGCTGATGAAAAGAAGCATAACTTGCGAATTAAACTAATAGATTTCGTTCAGCGTATATTTACCCAATTGCAATATGCTTTCGACGTCAGCTATGCTAAAATTCAGAGAGAACTGAAAAATATTTTGTTTCCATCAATCCAATTTGTGAACCAGTATAGTACCTCAGTGAACAATAGTGATCATATAAACAAATTTCTGACACTATTAGTTAGCATAAATATGGAATATAGTTGTAAACAAAGATATGAATGTCTATTAGCAAATTTTCCACCTATTTTATGTGAACCAGTAGTAACAAAAAGTGATTCTATAACAACTTTGGAAAATAGTAGTAAAAATTCCAGGTGAGACATGACAATTTGTTCTTTGATTTGTTTAAAAAGATTAAAAACAAAGTCTTAGTGAGTTCCAGGCAAAGAATAGATAAGATTAACGATTAATACTTGAAGTGAATCTTTAATTTTAAGGAATGATGAGAACGAAATATTGAAGAGACGAGCCGGATTTATAAGTTATCATCAGTGCATTCGAGAAACTAATAAATGTTATTCTGACGAAGTTCGACTTCAAGAAAAACAGGTTGACGATGAGCAAAAATGAATCTAAGATGACAGCTCCAAGATGATACTGACATTTTTGTCTCGGATCATTCACAATGGTTATTTTCATCCGGAGTAAGAAAATACTTTAGTTTTTAAATAAATATCAAGATCAAGAGGATTTATCATATATTTTTTAGACTTTACGTTCGATTGGATGAATGGAACTATAGAAAGAAATTCTGGACAGACATAGTTTATCATGACTTTTTGAAGTTGACCGATAGCTATAACTTAAAAGAACGTATGAGAAGTGAGAAGATACGATATGAACGTGAGCGGAGACATCTCTCCGACCAGGCACGACCTCGTCGTGATATTCTTCAGTTAATAGCAACATTGAATAACATTGCCGTTGGTAGTTGTCAAGAACATCAAGATATATTTCAAAAACGCTTTATCAAGGAAGAGAAACTCGATCACGATCAACAAAGAAAAAATCCTGATCAATCTTCGGTAGTACCACTCATTTTCGGCCGTATCGATGATCCAGAAAGTAAGTCTTCCAGCTTTGCTTTATTACTGTCTAACGACATACTGCTACTCATATAGCTGATAACGCGCAATGATGCACATTATCGTTACTTACTTTGCTCGATTACAGGACTATAATGTTTTCCTAATTGTTGCAGCTAAACCATTACCTATCGCTGTGACTCTCGACGACGACTATGAAACTTGGGTTGGCAATGATGACGGTGTAAAAAGAAAGACTGCTTACATTGCGGCATTTTGTAAGAAATTGAACATTTCTCCAGATTATTTTATTATCAACCACATTGAAGCGGGCAGTACTATTATTTATAGGATCGTTCGTTCACCCTATGGTAATCTTATAATGAGACATTTTTCAGTTGATGATATTGAACTAAAGAATCTAAGTCAACATGGTAAAGTGACAAAGATTATATTTGGTCGTTTCGGTCTCAATATAGATGATCAGTTACGCTTTGCAAAATGGAATCGAGTTTATGGGCAAGCACAAGAAGCTACCTACTGAGCCGGCTCCTTGGATCGAACTGGTAAACCATATGATTGTCCTGTTGGTTGGACACGCTATGCCATTAAGGTAATCGCGACACAAGAAGAATTTGATCGACGCTACGTAGCTTATCATGTAGCTTATCATGGAACCAAGAGTTCTGTAGCATCGAACATTCTTAAAAATGGATTGAGAGGCAGTCATGGTGGTTGTCATTGTCAAGGTCTCAACATATATTTGTCACCAAGTACCGAATATTCAGCACATCCTCGCTATGCAAAACCATGGAAAAATCCCAAAACAATAAATACTATCAAATGGTATTTCAATGTCGAGTTAATCCTCGTATACTTGCAGCTGGCATTATTGCACGAGAAACCTTGAGAGCACAAACACAGATTGATACGAATTTTAGTAATAGTGAACTAGAATGGGTATTACCAGCTGATGAACCAATTAGTCTAAATGATCTCATTTGTTATGGAATCATGTTACGCATTACGGATGGAGATCCAGCCGATTTAACATTCATGCAAATGGTGGGAATATTCTCTCAACATCAGCTATTGATTGTACTCTATACGATCTATCGTTATATCAAGAAGTTTTGTACCTAATATTCGTTCTCTGCGAATGAACTGAAATACTTCTATTCATCTTTTTTTTTCATTCTCCCTAGACTAGAGTCTAAAAACTTAAATTGAAACCAGAAATATAAGTGACATCTATGTCTGGATTGATAAAAACGGAGTTTGGGTCGCCCACGTATGTTTTCTAAATATTTTTCTACATGTTCCCAGTATTATTCATTGTTTCTAGGTCTTCGCGTTATATTTTCCCAACGTTGAAAGGCTAGTATCTAGAATCAGTAAATAATTTATGTCTATCTGTGCCAAACACGTTTTAAGTAGCGTTATCTATTTTTCTGATATAATGTGGGTGTGGGTATCAATGTGAATCTTCTTTTCACTGATATCGACATCCACACCCACACTCACACTTAAATTCAACATAAAGGTATCTGTAAACGAGTCGGCCCATCAAAAGTGACCTGATTTCAAGGCCTACTATGTAGTACATTTGTGAATATGACAGCCAACTACTTATGAGAAACAGAATAAAAGGTGGGTTTGTATGTTATCTTGTAAGATGATACGAGGAGCATCATGTAGTTACACAGAAGCACACCCCTATAGATTACACTCTCTCTTGCGATGGCTGATGTCCAAACTAGACAAGATGAAACTCTTGATGGCATGCCATATCCAATTGTAGATTTGTCTTCTTACATCGCTGATCAGGCACAAGCGTCTGAAGACTGCAAAACAATTGCTGATCTTCTGCACAAATTCGGTTTTGTGTGTATAAAAGATCCACGTGTAAATCATGCACACAATGATAAATTTATCGATATGGTAGAGAAGTACTACGGTCAAAGCGATGAGATTAAGGCCAAGGATATACGCAAGGAAGTTTTCTACCAAGTAGGTCTCACACCAACACGTATTGAGCGAGCTCGGAGTCACTGCGATTTTATAGAGAAACTGGACAGAATGGAAAAGCCTGTCACTATATGTCCACCAGGTATGTTTCTGTTTACAGTTTATTCCATGTTGAATATGTTTATTATTTGTAGATCTGGACAACAAAATGCGTTTTTTCTGGAGGATTGGCAATGCACCGTCGTACACTGAGTTTCCACAGATGCATGCTGATCCTGTCCTTCCGTACAATTTTCCCGAATGGAAAATAGTAATGGATAGTTGGGGAAACCTCATGCTTGCCACTGTGATAACTGTTGCAGAGATGTGTGCGCGTGGTCTTGGTCTGCCCACCGATACTTTTACATCGCTTATGAAGTATGGGCCACATCTACTTGCTCCCACTGGCTCGGATCTTGCACGTTTCGGCAAACTAGGAACCGTGCTGGCTAGCTTTCATTCCGACATAAATTTCCTCACCATTCATGGGCGTGCACGTTTTCCAGGCCTGTTCGTATGGACGCGCGAGGGCAAACGATCGGCTGTCAAAGTTCCACAGGGGTGTCTATTATTACAAGCCGGCAAACAATTTGAACGACTCACGGGTGGTCAAGTACTGGCTGGTTTTCATGAAGTTATCGTTAGTGAACAAACCAAGGAGGCGATTGACGAGGCGTCCAAAGTTGGTCGATCTCTGTGGCGCGTGTCATCTACCATGTTCGCCCATATTGCCAGTGATCACATATTGCACCCGTTGAAATCTTTCGTGACTCCTGAAACAATGAAGAAATATCCTCCAATCAAGGCAGGCGCGCAGGTCCTAGCTGAACTGGCAGCTATAAATATTCGTAAAACATTAGATACCAATGGTGAATCTGAATTTGCGCCTATATGATAAATTTAGAATAAAATAAGTTCGTTTTCTGCTTTTTATACTGGAATGCATCTAGAGAATATTGAAACTAATTCACATCACTGGAAATACAAAAGTATGATATGCGAAGATTTTAAGATGCAGTTTGATGATGCGTTCTCCTTGACGCCATGATTCGTATTCTAACAATTCAATAGGCAGTTCCAATGTCATTCGGCTCAGAGCGTTGTTTTTATGAGGCTTCTCAAGCACTAGGTGCGGATTCAAGGGGGAAACGGCGGATTTTGAATTTTTTTGAATTTTTTGGATTTTTTGGATTTTTTGGATTTTGATAATCCCAAAATCCAACACCAATATCCTGTTGAAGATACAGAAATTTCGAGCTGAAACTTTGTCCATATGTAAGTTTCGTGGTTCTTAAAATATTCTAGAAGTTTCAGCGCCAACGGATGTTATCTTCTGGAGATAATGCGATCGCAAGAAATACTCATATTTCACATCTTGGTCAGAAAATCCACTTTTATTGGACGTTNATCATTTAAATCATCATAAAACCACTAAACCAATGTTCTTACATAGTTTTCAACATGTTTCAGTTGAATATTTAGAGTGGGCCGATTTACGTTCTTATACGCCCCTGTCCTTTACGGTCTTCGTCGCCAAAGGGGTTAAAAATGCTGTCAACTTTTGTTTGATAAGCTACACGAAATTCTCAACTGAACAAGATGACTGTATTAATATAGATGACTAGATTTAATAAGTATAAAACGAAAAATATTTGTTCGATTTTAGGTTCTGATTGTTTTTGATTTATTAACATTATTAAATTGAATATAATCATAAGAATTGTACAATTTCCCAAATAAATTGATTTACGTATGCCTTTTTTCGGGCTCAATAAAGTGACAGTATGAAGAATCTCTAGGATCCATTATCGATTTACTCGTTGTGTCCGAACCAGAGATGTAAGTCAATTGGTTGATTGTCGCCAACGAAAAACTCACCATAACCATGATCACCAACACTGACAGAAGACCAAAGTAATACAAAATTCAACCGCAACCATCGTACTGTGCATCAGCTTACATTTGTAATTCGCTATTATGCAAAAGCATGTTTAAAATTTTCATTATCTTAAAGTGTAGGATCAATCGAAACTATTCATCATGAAGCAAAAAAAAAACATTTATTCGTCATTATCCAAATAAACTATGTTTCTAAGTTGGAAAGAATTCACATACTAATCGAGTGATTGAATAAAACTAAATGTTCCGCCAAAAGTAAATAATAGAAAGTATCATCTGGTTCCTTTCAATTGCTTATGTCAGTTTTAATACATGCTTATACTATTATAATTTATTCTGTTTTCTTTATGTTTTTGTTTTTCATGACAAAACAAACATAACTTTACTTTAAGTTTGTCGTTTCATTTTGAGATTTTTAATGCAATGCTTATTGACGACAACAAAATTGTTTACCCTGTTTAATGCTTCAATCGAATGGTTAGTAAGAGAAACTGAGAAGAATGTTTTCTTTCGTTTTAATAATTAGATACATCAAATAGCCATGCAAAAAACAGCAAGAGTTGCGTCGAGAAATATTCAGTTTATAAATCAAGTTCAAATAAAAGAAATTACAACAGATGATTATGAACTCGATGAATCAACTAGACGATTATCATGGGATCCAAATTTAAATAATGTAACATGACTTTTTTTTATGTTGAACTAATTTGTTTTATTTTTTATTAGAAAGATGTATTCAAAGCAACAGAAATACAACAAAGAAATATTATTATTGCATTTATTGTTGTTGGTATTGTGCTTGTTGCTATTATTATTGGAATTGTTGTAGGAGTAACACTAAGCCAAAAAAAAAGTAAAAGTTTTTTTTACTTTAGAACAAAATCTTGTAATTTAAGCTTTTAATTACAGTAACAACTACAACTGATCAATCTCTTACATACAATGAAGTATGTAAAACAGGTTCAAATCAATGTAAATCTTCACAAGGTCTTTATTGTCCATATGGATTTTGTTCTTGTACATCACCTTATTCATGGAATACAGCAACTAGTACTTGTAAGTATTGATCTTAAATGAGATAAATAAATCTAATAAGTTTAGCGTTATTGTAGGCACATTATTGACATATAATCGTGCCTGTTCGGCATCAAATCAATGTAATTCATTATTAGGACTCATTTGTACAAATCAAATTTGCCAATGTGATAGTTATCATTCATGGGATACACAAAATAATACATGTAAATTTGAATTTGAAATAACAATAGAAATCAATTACTTCATATTTAAAATAGGTGTAATTATTGTAAATAATACTTTAACTTATGGTGATAAATGTGTTGTTGGATCGAGTCAATGTAATTCATCGGTTGAACTTACTTGTACGGGTAATTGTACATGTAGAAACTCTAAAATATGGAATATATCAACTTGTGTTTGTCCAGCTGGAACATTTTTAAATTCATCAAATCTTTGTCGTAAGATTTTATTTCATTAGTTTCATTAAAAACTATATGATGGTTTTGATTTCTATAGAAACAACATATAGAGATAATGAATCATGTTTGATTGGTTCAAATCAATGTGATTCCACAAGAGGCCTCTCTTGCTATAATAATAGTCGATGTCAATGTGATTCAACTAAATATTGGAATCGAAATTCTGAAATATGTCGTATGATAAATTCTTGTTTTATTTAAGAAAAACAAAAACATCACGATGTATTTGTAATGTTTTGTTTAGTACAACGTGTTAATTATTCGGATTTTTGTGCATCTGATCGTGATTGTGTGCCAACATTGATATGTCCAACAGTAGCAGGTGTTTGTAATTGTTCTCGATATTTACCAGATTATGTGTGCAATTGTCCGAATACAAAATATTATGATTCAGCTACACAACAATGTGGTATGAAGATTACGTACAGAATTAGTTTTTGTTTTATTATTTATTTCTTTTATTTCAAATAGTTGACCGAGCTACATATAATGGTACATGCATAGCATCAGCGAATTATACGTGCCTTGTAACACTTTATTGTAATGCGGGACTATGTGCTTGTCCGATGGGTACGAGTTGGATTGCGGCAAATTCAACTTGTGCATAGTTTTTTTTGTTTTGATTAATGATTAAGATATCTTTTTGTTTGTCAATATGTACAGTTTTTAACTGCGAAGTGGATTTTACTTATGATTTATGTAATACAATGAATTGCCAATATGCATAAATAATGCTTTTATCTGATAGACATAAGAGTAATTCAGTAAACGAATTTCAGAACTTAACGATAAATCAATAGTATATACGAAATATGAATACAGTATGAGTTCGAGCATTAGTTGAGCAATATATAATAGGAATGATTTTGTTGACTTTGGTTAACGAAGAGTATAGGAGAAAAAAAATAGTGAATATTTTACAGTACGATTGCTTTCCTAAGTGATTTGATCCAGCCTGTGAATTCCAGCAGAAAAATGTCGGATTTGACTTGGTCTTTCTCTACAAAGATCCAATCGATTCCTGCCGAATTTGTTCAAGGATTATTATCGGATCTTCCCAGATATTGCACATGGAAGAAATCATCAGATGCTGAGTCTCACAAAGGCTATAGTCGGATTTCGACAACAAGATTCCGAATCGAATGATGATAGAAAAAATCCGCTCAAATACTTTCGAATCTGATAATAGGGTTATATTAAATGCAAGTGAATACGATGTTCGAAAACATTTGGAATGTACCGGAGTCTGCAGAAGTCTGGCCAGATTTCACCGAACTCTAATATCTGAAAGTCAAAGCGAATTATTCTAAAGAACATTTCACATGATCTTTTCAAATGATACCTGTCTTCTGTATAACAATTGTTTTAATATGATACATGTGTATTTTTATTATGTTTTTCAAATATGTAGTGACAAACCAGATGAAACGAGGAAGCATCATAAATGGTCGTATTTAACAGTGTTAAACACTAGGATTATCGATTTTAAAATACTAATAAATTAGATTAATTGAATTATAACAGTTATAAATACAACTCGAGCTCATTCTGAAAACTCATTGGTCCTTTTCTGAACAATAGAAGGAAGTTGTTGCAATTAAAGAAAGGAATAACAATAGAAGCATTGTCATATTTCATTAATATTCCCAGCCTTTTCACACAAAGATGTGGGTGTGGGTGACATAGAATAGAAGACTCAGAATCATAGCCCCAATCATGCCACCCCTTCCATGTACAGTCCTACACTTACATGATCTTTCTAATCCATTCTTTTTATAAATAGACACTGAAAATTTAACCAAGATTCATTCTAGAAGAACGCTTGAATTCTTTCTCCATAAAGCACAATGAAGAAGATTTGAAGTAATCGCCTTTATTCCCTATTTTTGAAAAAAAAAGTGAGAGTACTCCGTAGTCATAGCATACGTTTTATTTCAGGAAATCATAAGTATGAATATTTTTATGTCCGTGTGTCCGATATAAAGTAAGCCCAAGGAAATGGAGAGATCTATTGACGTCAGATTCAGAAGAGATAGGGGTTGCCTTAAACTTTCTTCATTTTTGCCAACAAACAACTCAGAGAAATTTTTCTCTTCATGATGGATGTCAACGTTTCGAGTGTTGTGAATGTGGGTGAGCATATTGATCAGAGTCTCTCCTCCCCACACCCACAACCATCTAATTAACTGATAAATTTCAAAAACCACGATGTAAGAATCATTTTTATAACATTTCTTCGTATACTTGTTATTGTTGAAAGCAAGAAAAACTAATAAGTTTTGATGATTTTTCCTTAAAAAACATGTATTATTAGATCGATGACATGGTATCTGATAGAAATTTTCGACTGAATATTTATTGTCAGATTGGTTTCAACCTATAAGAAAACAGATAAGACCGTTTTCTTTTTCTAGTTCTTGTATAATCTATCTTATTTTGTGAAACACAATCTGAAAGGAATGTTGAAATATGGAGGCAGAGATTCGAACCCACTTTCTCCATTCTAAAGAGCGTGAAAGGTATCCAGACGATTCTGTTCGTAAGGATGCCAATAACAGCTATATCATGCTTCACAGTTTAATTTTTCAAAGATTGTACTAATACTTTTTATTAGAGAAACTGTTTTAATCCATAACAACTGCGACGATAGGTGCATTATGTAAAGATATAAATTGTATTATTTTCACTTAGGATGTTGGTGTTGGTTGTGAATGTTCGATGTTCTCAAATCATTGATTCTGACTAAAACCGGCCGTATGCGATAATTTTCAGGCAGAATCCGCTGAATTTCTTATAGGATCCAGTCGAATTAAAACTAAGGACATGGAAATAGTATTGCCCAGTGAAAGTCATTGTGCCGAAAAGAGTGGTTTTCTAACATTATCTGTAAACTTGAAATCGACCGGAATCACTTCGAATCTCGCCAGAAAATATAGAAAAACGCAAAGAACTCATCGAAAGAACAAAATGACTCGCACAAAAATACTCCAGAACCTCTTATATTTAACAGTAGCCCATCGATTTCTACGATCGATTCCGGCAGCTACCGGTCGTACTCGAAGACTTTACTGATGTTTTCTGCAGTATTCGCGCAATTTTTCACAGAAATCTGCCTCAGAAAACAATGAAATTAGAAGCAGCCGTCGTAGCTGCAAAGTAATCGTGCCAAAAGCAAGTGATTTAAACACAACATACTGGAAGCATAAACGGAGAAGAATGTGCCAGAATCCTGCCAGTAAATCTCTAGAAATCCAGCACGACAAGAAAAGGATATAGTCGGGCATAACTTGCAATTGCTCGTATCCAGCTGTATGATACCAATACGATCTGTACGAATCTTTTTCATATTATTATCGAATTGGCAGAATGAAATACGAAAGTCGACAATTTCCCATAAATCTTTCTAATACGTTGGTAGACTGAGCTCCAGTTTCGAACTGAACGAAACTAGTCTTTGAACTTTCGCAAGAAATTCGCGACGGAGCGAAAAATGATAGAAGAGTTAGGATAACGTTATTTAAAAAAAACAGCCTGATATTTATGACTACTTTTCATAATGAACTCTGTACTCCCTCCTAATACATGCTTATTTTGGAATGCAACCATACAGGATGTTGATTTGCAATGCGTTGCAAAGACAAGAATAGACCCATTTATACTCCGAAAGTTAACATAATAATCATGAAAAGCAACATTTTATGATCGCTTTTCCAAGTGAACTCTGCACTGACTTCAACAGGTGCTCATTTTGCAATTGGACGCTTTAGAAAAGAGCATAGTCTTTTGTACTACCAAACCGAGCATAATAATCATGAAAAGCATCAGTAAATATACATTTTTCTTGTAAAACTGTTTACATGCTTCGAAAGATTCTGGAAATTGATTTAAAACTTTTTCCAAGTCACAAGTCTACTTAAAAAATGATTAGAACATAATATTTGCTAGCATCTTTCGGATGGAAGACCAGTTGCCAGTGGGCCGGATCTTTTTGGACCATGTGCTGGTACACCGAATTCCTGCAAGGACAGGTTACTACTAGACCGGCTACCAGTAACAGACGGTTTCCGGTTTGTACCGATGAAACAATAATAGTAAAACGGTGATTCACAATCACTGTTACATTCCCACACCTCGCCTACATCCTTCTTATGAAAAATGCGAAACTTGTTTCTATTTTAGCTGAACCTAGAAATGTTTTAGTATGAAAGATGCAAAACTTGCCGAATTTTTCTGAACCGAAAATAGTTCGGTATAAAGAATGTGAAATGATTTTCATCTTTTTTGACACCTCAAAGGTTCCGCTTATCAAATACAAAACTTTGAAGGTTCGGTAATAAACCTATTTTTTACGGTGTATGATAGGCTTCGCAGAATTATTGAGCGTTCTAACTATAGCTTCACTATGTAGTATTTCGCTTGCACTACCATAAGTTGTGATAGCCACTATTATAGATCATATGGTACAATACTACAAAGGACTTCAAGGGAGCGACTCTTTCAATACATTCAAGGGTAAGAACTCATTCGCATCCATGCAATTAGTTTGTGGTAGAAAACAAGATAGTTGATATTCTCTCTGGAGAGAGGCTTCTGAAAGCTACGTACATGATTGCAGCGCCATCAAAATCCGAAGATTTTCTTCAGCATTGATCTTCATGAAATCATAAATGCAAAAGAGTTGCTGGCTACAAATGAATTAATATGGTCGATCAAGTCATATGAACTGTTGACCAGCACTTTCGAACTGGAACTGTTACAGGCTTATCTACAAGTGAATGACTCAATGGCGTCAAGATCTTGGCAGTAAGAGCTTTTCGCCAGCATTTTAGTCGCGTAAAAACTGAAAAGTCGGAAGCTTTACAGGAAATAGATCGTGAGCAAAGAGATAAGATGATCGAAGAAAAGTATTTCATCAGTCATGGCATCTAGCAAGTTTTTTTTTTTTGAAGAGTGCAAAAATAACTTGTAGACTAGACTATCAATTTTTGTATTTGAGACTTTGCGGAAAACTCTGACGACTCCAAACTATTATCGCAAGAGCAATTCAGTCTATGCGTAGTAAAACCAAATTTGTTTTTTTATTGATATTGAACTTTGCTTCTCTGAAAATCAAATGCTAAGATTGTTGCAAGGAACATAAATTGATCACACTAGTTGATATGATGTCGCATGTGAGTGCTACAAGCTCATGGTAGGCAAATATTTCAATGAAATTGCAAAAATTTGAGCTCAGATTCTAGTTTTATTATATCATAGAGGTTTTCGTTTCGACGGATACTGCAACCAGAGCTAGAGATAGCTGCTGCACAAAAAAAATGGTTGAAATGAAGAAGTCTGGCGCGAAGAATGTGAAACTTTAAAGGTATTAGGAAACTATGTCGAAAAATGGCTGATGATTCATTGATGCAATAATTGTGAATAATTAATGAAGACACGAAATATTTTTCAATTCTTTAGTATTTCGAACAATGTTTTAGTTAATTATACCACCACGTTTATCACAAGTTTACGTTTAAATAAATGTAATATGTAATTCGAAAGATAAACCCTTGTTGCGGGATCGAACGTCTTACTGTCGTATAATTTAATGTCCAGGTGGATGATACAGAGGTGCTCTTTGAAAGACTCTAGTGTAATGATCGATGAAGCGCTGCCGAACGAAATAGTAGAGTTCATATTCGGCTTGGAGAAGTGAACGGATAATTGCTCGTGTTTTATTGCTCGCAGCATGACGATATTTCGCTGGTGTATTATATACACGGGTTCTATTGAAACTCTGTCCATAAAGGCGAACAATACCGGTAAATAATGGATGAATGTGCTCGAGTAATTCTAATGAACCTTCAATGTATTCTACAAGTCCGACGTGAATGTAGTACCGTTCAATATTACGTTTAGCAAGAGATAGAGCAGCTTCACTAGTTGGCGGTGACACTGTATCATCGCATATTGATTCCTGACCACAAAAAAAAGCAATAGATGAATGAATGCCGTAAGGCTTCGTAACACACCGAGCAGGATCACCAGTAGCAACACAGGTGTCCAGTGTCAAATTATGATATGACGGATGTAACATATAACATGCTTGGTAGACATGTATTACGTCACAAATGTAGCGTTCATAATAGTATTGTGATAATGCTCGTTGTAGTGGATCCCGTAATTGGTTAATGTAATGAAAGATTATGGATGGTTTTGATTCAAATTTGACAAAATGAAAGTGTCGATCATAAAGTAGCGTCCGCGAACTAGAGTTCTGTGCATCGCTGACTATAACTTCTTTTAGTTTTTGCTGATCTTGGGCAGCGATACGATAGTGGCTATAATCACGTGACCGTATTAACGTGAAATTAGCCATTGATTTAGATAATTTTGTTAGGACCTCCATAAACAATGAACTACCACATTTTGGAACACGATTGTTCACGAATATTACAATTGGTGATTCAAGTCTACTTCCCATCTGTGACTGTTTAATTATTGAAGGCTTTGTAACTATAAATGTAAGAATAGCTGCTGTCAAAGCTGCAATACAGACTTTCAACAGTAGCGATTTCATTAGATATTTTCTGCAGATCATATTGAATACGTTTATTGAGCCACGTTTGTTCACTAACCTTGAGCACTATTCATAACGAATTTCAACCATGGTAGGTCTTCTAGAAAAGGAAACATTTAAATAGGTGAGATGAAATCAGTGCTCGACTGAATTTGATTTCTCTAGGACTGTCAAGTTCACGATGAGCTCATTGAAAGAAAAGTTATCAAACTGACGCATATGTGCAGGAGTGCGTCTTTAGTTTCCCAATATTTTTAAGAATAATCTTGAGAACATTATACTGCCACATATGCGTTCAGTTTGAGTTCCTTTTATTGAGTATACAGTGATATTGCTATGTAGTCAAATATTCAGATAACACCTGTTTCAAGTTCCTTTCGATTTGGATGACGTACTATATTTTATTAAGAAATAATGTGTTTGAGATGATTCAAGCAAAAACCTAGATAGTCAGCATTGTTTAAAACATGAAAAATCTGGTTACTACCTATTTTCCATTGAAAGTTCATCGACTTAACCATTTTTTCATGAAATTTCATTTTGTAAGCAAAAGTATACAGAAAAAAAATTTCATTTCTTCGCTCAACGACCTTGCCATATTTTTTTACACATACCGAGAAGGAAAACCAGCAGAGCTCTTCGACTAAAAGTGTTATGTCTAATTACCTTTCTTTTCCTAAAAAACATACATGGACAAATTCTTTTATTTCTCAGCTCAATACACCACCATTTTTCACATAAAGAGAGAGCTATGAACGAGAAGTACTCTTCGATCGAAAACGACATACCTAACGCGACTGCACTCCTCAACAACGTGAGAAAAATAGCTTTATCCTTTTTCTCGAGGAGTGAGCCCTTTTTTATACAGAGAGAGAACGAAAAAAAAGAGAAGAAGCATTTGATCAATATACTCCTACCTAGCTGCATTATTGTTCTCAAAAATGCAGAAAAAAATAGCTTTATTTTTTTCTGAAGGCGTGGGCTCTTTTGTATACGAAGAGAGAACGAAACAAGAGAAAAAGCAATTTATCAAGATAGTCATACCTAACTGCGTTATTGCTCCGAAAAATACAGAGAAATTGGCTTTTATCATTTTGCTCAAGACGCTGACTCTTTTTTTTTTTTTACACAAGAAGAGAACAAAAGAAGGAGATAAGCATTTGATCGAAATGGTATTATCTAACTGTGTTATTGTTTCCGAGAAAGTGCCGAGAAAAGACATTCTTTTGTTTGGCACCGTTGTGTTGCTCTGTTTTTTTCATATATATATACCATAGAATAGACTCATGCGTAGCGTCTAGAGAATGTTGAACATATCGTATTTATATCTGCGTGGGTTTCCGCCTAAACCAAGTTCTTGAAGCACTTTCTATCGTATTCCACGTAAATTTTTTATGATATTTTTGAGATTCTTATTATTTGTTTTCTGTTTTATATTCATTTATACTACTGTAGAACTTGAAATTTTAATTTTGCTTTTCTAACATTTTTGTGACTTCTTTTAGCTTTAAAACTTTCTGATTTGAAGTATATATAGTCATTAGGACGATGAATCATTTAATTCTTTCTATCTGAAACATATTTCGATACTTTCAGGTGCATTTGTGGGTGCGAGTGTAGGTGTAGGACAGTAGAAAATCCTACAATCAGTGACAGAAACGCACACTACAACTCCACCCAAACCCCTATCCTAACGAATGAAATTATCTATATGGTTCGATAGAATTAGCAATCCCACATTGAAACATATTAAACAACACACTTCTATAATTTTATTGAAATATAGCTAATAGATCAAATCTGTCAACAATACCATAAGCAATCTCAACATTTGTGTTAATAAAAATATTCATCTATAAAAACCAATTTATTTCTCACCCGCGACGGAAAAGAGATCGAACTATTCGATGGTTCGATGCAGCAGGCATCCCTTCATAAAGTCTCAAACATTAGCAATAAAGTTCACTGTAGTGTAGGGCTCACATTCTCTGTATCTTGTACTTTTCCAGCTTGTATCGATCTTTTTGTGTGAAAAGTCTACTGGGTGTACTATTGCTTATGTATTATTTACAAAAAATCAGTTTCTATTGATTTATTTGTAGCTTCCATCAAAAATATTAATCTTTTAGCTTTCTACTTGGTTGAATATCTCACATTTTTATTTCATTTCAAAATTGCTTTTATTCTTAGTTTTTGCAATGATTTTCAAAGGTTTTCTTATCGCTCTTGTCAATAGATTTTGTGGAAAATTCACCAGCGGAAAATGTTTGTTAAATTTCAGTTTTAGAAGATCTTTGACTTTGCATATATGCGCTTCTCACTTGGAGAACATATTTCACATGCTCTAGCAAGCACAATTCATGCATCTACTCGATATAGTCAATCGTAAACTGCTCTGCGAATGTAAAAACAGGATTTACAAAGTTTAACTTAATTTACTCTTTCTTTTTAAATGAGTTGTTTTGTTCGTAGGTCCCAGCTTTTTTAGCCATTTGACATGCTAGAAAGCTCGGGAAAGTTTTAAATTGAAGAGGAAATTGTGCTCAACAACTAAAAAGAGCCGGCTTGTTTTATTTTTGACTAAGTTTATGAGAACAATGAGTATTTTTTATAGGAGTATCTCTAGTTTTGCTAACGTTTCGAGAAAAGCTGGCACAAAAAATTAACAAACAAGAATTTACAAAGTCGAGCTCTGTTAAGTTATCGCGGCAAGTGCTGGCTATATCTTAATGGTGACTCGAAGTTTGTATTATTGAATTTACGGGAGAAATCCGGGATGTACGAAGACCTACTTTGGTCCCTCGATATAGGGATAACTCTTGAAGAACTCAATATTTTTGGGTTGAAAGCTTTACTGTAAGCTGCCTAGGTGCACATGCATGTTTTTTTTAGATTCTCAGCTAGATCGATTATTCTGAGACGAGAAAGATTTTTCACAGCGGAGGAGCTTGAGATAAATAATTTGTGAGGAAGTAAATCCATGTGCAGCTGTTTTCATGACTAGTTCTGTTTGATGTTTTCTACTCAGAATTTTATGCTCTTCAAAATGACACAAAAAAGTCAAGGATATGATGATCTATGATGGAGAAAACTGCTGCACATTTGTCGTGACTAGAAACCGTCGTGATCGGTCGTAATCAAAACTGGTCACAACGAATGCGCCGCAGTTTTCTCCACCATAGATCATTATATCCTCGACTTTTTTGTGTCATTTTGAAGAGCATAAAATTCTGAGTAGAAAACATCAAACAGAACTATTTTTTCACATCCACCGTGGAA